AAGTTGTCAGTAAAAGAATACAAAGAAGCCTTCATTTTGCAATAACTTGCTCCTCTTTTATCATAACATCACATAAACCATCTTATAAAATTCACTGTGCTTTCTGTTACCCTCCATTTTACAAGCCAGAACATGGGAATGTTTCAGAATATTGATTCAGGGAGGTTCTGTTGTACAAAGCTTTATCTCATTGTTGATATGCTGTCTGCATTGCAGCATGTGACTATGGGTATCTATTTGTGTCTGGCCTTATTGGATCCATCTTCTTTTGTTCATCACAGTAGAGCTATGTGGGCCAGTGACTAGGTAGGAAAATTCCATGACAAGATTCAATTAGAAAATCATTATCTGGATTTTTGTGTTTGTTACCCTAATACTAACTGGCTTATCATCTTTAATGCTTTGTCTGAATCTATGATCTTTAAATGACTGTAAAGATGTTCCTAATATTTAGTATGTGTGTGTACAATACAGACACCAGCAGCAAGAAACATCTTCCAGCCTAAAATAATGGGTGAGGTTCCTACTGAGGCAAATATCTGCTTACTATATGAAATGGTTGTCTATCCTATATGGATACACACAAGGGGTAAACTTTCTCACAGATAATAAATGGCATGCTACAGTAACATAAGTTAGCAAGAAATTCCCCATAGGGATAATGTGTTCATTTGGCAGAGAATTGAAACAGATAACTTGGATTCCTTCTACTCTAATGTAAACGTGCTGAGGAATTCTAGAGGATTGAAAACACAAGTATAATAACAGAGAAATCTAAATATTTGAGTATTTTGTATTAAATGTATTTAAAAGATTAGATTTGTTATTTATAATACCTCTTTGAAGAGATAACACTGACATGTAGGATATCATTAACGTTAATATTTTATCATCCTCAACAAACTTGAAGTGACTAACAAAATTATTATATATAAATTCGGTATCTTTTTGAAGTCTGACAACAAATGTACTCATGATTCAAATCTATAAAGTCTAATGTTATCAAAAGATTTTAATATACTCTTAAATACATTCTAATGAGACTTTTCAAATAGCTGATGTTTTGTCAGTATCACACCTTGTGCTAAATACACTCGAATCCTTGGAACAATAGGCTACGTTGCACAATAGCCAATGTCCTCCAGCAACAGAACAGAAGCTACCACGCAAGCTGCCAGTATTGGATTCATTCACTATTGAATGAATTTTGCTTTTGGAAATCTTAAGTGTGTATTATATATCTGAATTTCCTTGGCATTTTCTTCATGCTCCATACATAGAAAATAAACCAGTGCTGATCCATAAACAGCTCCCTACTTCACTGGCTAGGTATCACAGCTGTTAAGCCAGCAGGTCTGGAAATGATACCATTCTCTATGGCTCTAACAATGAGATAACTTTATAAATATTGATGTAAAATAGGAGTGTAATTCATTTTATCTTATCTGGGCAAGTTTTCTATGTTCCATACTGCATTATTCATGTACTGCCATTTGAACAGTTGCCTACATTTGGAAATTCTGTTTACAAACTTGTATATTTGGGACTTACAAACCTTTCTGATATAAGCAGGATAGGTATTTTTCCCCCATTTGTGAGTTTGAAAACCGAGTTCCAGAGCAGATACCTAAATTGAAGCCACATGAGTAATGATTGGCTCAATGAGATCTTACATCTAGCCCTGCTGAATCCTATTCCATGCTCCCTACATTGCATCGCACTGCATCTTAAGATCATTCCAGAGTTGGTTGCTGTGTAAACCTGGGGAGTGCTCACAAACAGCCAGGTCTCCTCTCCTTCCAGAGCACTTAAAAGACCATACTTCCCAGTCAGCCCTAACCCCCAGTTAGGTGGGATCATGGTAATAGCTCTGACCATTAGGCCATGAGCAGGAGTGAGGTATATCAATTCTGGAAGAACCTGGATAAAAGACTTTGTGAGATCCTCAGTAGCAAACATGGAAGCCATAGATTGAGAAGGTGGAGCCATAGGATGCACTGATCCTGGATCACTGAGTCACTGCATAGAGGAGCGCTACCCTGGAGAGTCATCTGACATAAGCAGGCTTTGACTGAGGAAGGAATAAACTTTTTCACTAAAGCCACTGAGATTTGAGGGTCATTTGTCACTGCAGCATAAGCTCAGCTTATTCTAATAAAACTCATCCAGATCCTTTCTACGGCTGCTATCAGCATTATACCATTATTATCACCTCCTAATATATCATCTCCAGCTAAGATGTTAAAGGAAGTACAAAAACTGATCTTTGGTGCTGTGGAGAAAATAGAATAGTAAAAAGGGATAGGGAGTGATTAAGGTTTAGTTGCCACAATCTTAAATCAGTAGTCAGAAAGAACTCACATAAAATATAACATTTGACCAATGATTTAATGCCATATCTGCAAGAGATACATTCTAGGAAAAAGGGATATCTGCAAGAAATACGTTCTAGGAAAAAAGGGAATTGTCAAGCATTTGATGTTTTAGGAGCAGCAAAGAGGTCAGTAGAGCTGCATACAGTGACTGATAGGAAGGAGTGTAAAGAGCAGTGAGGTTAGAGAGACAAGGAGAACAAGACACCTCAGGGAAGGGTTTGTAGGCTGCTGCAAGGACTTTGCCTTTTCCTCTGAGTGAAATCAGAAGCCTTTGAGTGTGTGCAGTATAGCAACATGATTTGATTTCTATTTTTAGAGGACCGTTTTATAAAAGCAGATTGATGGCATTGAACAGTTATTTACAATGGAGAGTGTTGCAATAAAATGCTGGATTCGATCATGTGTTATTTTGATGCATCGGCTAAACTTCACTAAACCAGTGTCGGTGGTGTTAGTTCACAATGCACATTATATTGATGTTAATCAGGCTTCTACCTAAGTTTCTTAATATCCTAAACTGCAATTCTTTGATTTGAAACACTTGCCATAAAGTTATCAAATAAATCCTTGCAAGGATCTTTATTCTCCAGAATCTCCATAGTAAATCATCAAAAACAGTTGGATATAATTTCATATTATATGAAACTATCACTTGGAGTGTCCTAGGTGATGACAGAGTGAATGCATTGATCTTAAATACGATTTACTTGTCATTTCCACCTCAATACTCAAAAGAGAGCTTTCACTCAGCATCTCCAAAAAGTAAAATCATTCTCTATCCCTATCTATTTATTCCAGAATTTGTGTCCTTTATTCCTTTACTCCATTCAGAAAGCCCTCATTACCACAGTTGCTTAAGTCGGGAACCCCAGAGATTGGTAACCATTTCTAAAAGTTTTTTCTTTTACATAACCCCTCAAATTCAGCTTTCCCACAGTCCAACCCAACCTCAAATTTAGTTCTTATTCCCTTTCATGTGAATTTCTAGAACAAACTTCACAGGTCTCTCTGGCCTTCTGGTTGTGTCACTCCCCTTTCTACAAGAATGTGCTAAACTCTTTGGTCTTAAAGACCCCTCATGATCAAGATCTGCCTGCATTTTTAGCAATAACTCTTGCCACTTCTGGATTGCAACATTTGCTGCAGCCACACAAAGCTGCTTGTTGTTTTCCAAGCATCCTAAGCTATTTCACACATCTGTGACTTTGCAAATGTCATGCCCTCTGATGGGATATTTTCTGGCCTTCTCTAACTGGCAAATTCCTTTTGCTTTCAGCCTCTGTTTATATGTCATGTCATTTATAAAGTTTTCCTTGACCTCACCTTCATGACCCCTCATAGGTAACTTTATTTCAGTGGTGACTTTGAGCTTACATCCGTCATCTCAACAAGACAACTCTTTGTATGTCACACCCCCAAAACAAAGGCACAGACATAATAGGTGTTCGCATGTGTTGGATGAATTAATAACTCTAAATACCATTCTGGTTGCAATGCCTGGTATTATCATAATTGGGAGGATGTCATATCTGTATCTCAGTAACCATCCTGCGATGCCCAGTGAGTAGAAGATGACATTTATTGTCATTTCCTTCATGAGGGAAAATGTAATTTCTTTCAGCAGTTTGTTGGATAAATTGAAAATAAAACAGTATTTTAATATTGAACCTGTTCTTACTTGAGGTGACTGCCTCTTTTTTTTTTTTTGGCATTTTATCAACCCAGATTGATTTATCTTTGTAATTCTTCTTTGGCTCACAGCCATTGCTATTAAATAATTGCCATTCTTCTTAATGCTGACCTCATCAGATGCTTTGAGTATAAAGGAGAAACCCATTGAGAAAAATCAGTTCCTGGTTTCTTGGTTCATCTGGAGATCTGAATTTTTAAATTTGTATAAAGATAGATTGCATTAAAGACAGCACATTCTAAAATTAATAATAGAATAATGAGAAATGTAAAGACATCTAATGTTTTAAAGGGATTAAAGTTCAGCAATGAAACATTGTTTAGTATTTATATTTGGCTCTTTTTTCCTTACTGTAGTATAGCATATGTTCTGAGATGGGACATTGCTGTTTTTGCCTCAACTTGAAACCTCTCTCTAGTCAGCATAAGGCATGTTTTGTTGAATTCTGCAATAATATGCTGTTATAACTGGTGGCTGAGTCATCTGTTTTTACAGGATTGGTACTGTAAGGAGCTGAGACATATGTTTCATGTGTCAAAATTGAGTGTGAATTTTAAAGTCGAAAAAAAATGAACCCTTGAGCATACTCAAGTGCAAATCACAGCAACCTATGGGCTGAAGGCTTTCACAGCTACTATTTGATTTTTTCCAAGTTGCATTATTATACTGTTGGTATTTTCATGCAGTGAATGGAAAAATACAAGCTCGAAGCTTATTAGTACGGATGAAACGGATGATATTATGAATATTCCACTTTCTCTGTGATCAGCTTTAACCCATGATCCTCTGTTTCTGTTCACTAAGGTCTTCATATGCTTTTAGAGTTACCAATGGTCAAGTGGCTGAATGAGGGGTCAGGGTCATTTTAGCAAGTGGGCACACACCTAGACTGGCTTAGGGACCTTAGCCATGAGAGGTCCATGCATCTTTTGAACCTGTTACTCTTTTCTACAATGAAAGAATTCACAGCATGAGCACCTGGGTCAGGCAGGGTAAGATTAAGAGCACAGGAGATGCTGATGATGGAAACACATGAAGATCTTCTTCATACCAAAAACACTAAGTTCACTCCACTATTGCATCATGATTTGACACTGTTGCATCATGATCTGACACTAGAACCAGAAAACCTTCTTCAGGGAAGTTGAGTTTGAGAGTGTAGCTGCCCCTATAGTTCACCTTCGTGTCTTCTTAAAGCCCTTCTGTCTCTTACTTAGCCCTGGCCCAGGATGCTTTATAAAACATAATACAATGACAGTCAAAAATAATAGTATTTATAGTATTGGTGAATCCAAAAGTGCAGTGAAACTTCATTAACATAATAGTTAAGAGAAAGCCCCCTAAATGTCAGAAGAACGTCACAGTGCAGATAAATTAAGTAGAGGCATTGCTATGAGAGCATGCCTTTAGGCTAGAGGAAAGATGACCTAGAATGCAAGTAAAGTAAAATTAATGGGTGAGAATTAAAGTCTAGCTAGGGAAAACCAAGAGGGCTTCAGATTTCTCAAGGGCTCTTTTTCTAGATTAAGAAGGAAATCTGAACGTTCCTATCATCAACAGAAGAGTGATTACCTTTGGGAAATGGGTGATGGATTGACTATAATGGGCGCAAGGGGCCTGTTGTGATGATAGATACATTCTATATGTTGGTATGGTCATGGTTCCATGGGCATATATGTAAAATCATAAAATACATCATGCAGTACATTTAATCTGTATAGACTGTACTGGTGTGAATTGTACCTCAATAAAGGATTAACAGAGCAGAGAAGGGTAAAAGTGGGGCAGTACCTTGATTTTATCTATCTCCCAAGAATAAGACTAAACAATTCCTTAAAGAAACATTATCTCAATTTCTTCTCTCACACCTACAAAAAGCATTAAAACCCTTTTTTGTTTGCTTTTCATATTAACCTAGTTTCTCCAAATGTCCTCTTTGTACAGTGTTATGTAAACAGCAACTTCCTTTCATCTTGTTAAACAGCAGCTCATGATTAGCTATGTGGCTCTGCAACTACCCTCATAAACTCCATCTCCAAACGTTATGATTATATTGGCTTAATTTAACTTGATAATAATGATAAGGGTAATAGCTAATGTGCATTAAGTACTTAATGTTGCAGGCACTCTGGTTATATACACACACTCATTTAATCTTCTTAACAACCTTTAGGTACAATAAATACGTATATTTTTCTTACAAAAAAAATACTGACGCTTAGCCAAGTTGAGCAGCCAATGCATGGTCACATTGCGAAATGTGGCAGAAATTTAGGTCTGTCTGTTATCAAAGCTCAATCTTAAGCTCTCTGGAATGCCCCACCTTCAAGCATCCTCCAAGTTCTCCTGTAGAAGCACATCTTTCTTTGCAACTTGGGCTTTTATTGCTTTTTACTTTTTACATGCTTGGGGATAAAAAGTTTTTGGAAGGAATATTAATTCAAAATAATTCACCTTACTCTGGTGACCATGAGGCATCATATGAAAAGCAAAGTGTAAATAAAAGCATCAAAACTATAAAGTTTAGCAAAGCAGGGCCATGTTTTCTTTCAGATTTCATCTCTGAGCTATGTTTTAATTCATATAAATTTTCTAGTTCACAGAAGTTTTTCCTTTCAGCATAAACATTTTTAAAATATTTTAACCATATTTCACAAATGCAAAATATAGCCTGAATATGTTCCTAACTTCTTAAACAGAGCACAGCTTCTACCATGTATTAATTCATGCTCAGGGACATGGATGGAACTGGAGATCATTATGTTCAGTGAAATAAGCCAGGCACAGAAACACAAACACTGCATGTTCTCACTTTTTGTGAGATCTAAAAATCAAATCAGTTAAACTCATGGACATAGAGGGTAGAAGGGTGGTTACCAGAGGCTGGGAATTGGATAGAGGTGAGGGTGGTTAATGGGTACAAAAAAAAAAAATAGAAAGAATAAATAAGACCTACTATTTGGTAGCACAGTAGGGTGACTATATTCAATAATTACTTAATTGTACATTTTAAAGTAACTTAAAGATTGTAATTGGATTATTTGTAACTGAAAAGATAAATGCTTGAGGAGATGTGTACCCCATTCTTCATGATGTACTTATTTTACATTAAATTCCTGTATCAAAACATCTCATGTACTCCATAAACATACACACCAACTATGTACCCACAAAATCTAATTCAAATACTTTTAAAAATAATAATAATTTCTACTTGGTATCTCTTACTAGTGACAAATTCTGCTAGCATATTGTGAGATGTCTGGACATTGTTAGATATCCTGGATCCTTGAACCCTCTCCAGAATGCCTCAAGTTGACACAGAATTCTTTTGGCCACCTCATGTCTCCTTTCATCTACTTTTCCAGTATCCTTATGCCATTTATTGAATTTCTGCTTCAAACTTCCTTTGGGCTAAAGAGAATGATAATACACAATAGAGTTCAAAATATAAATAAAGCCTTTCTGAATAATTTTCAAATCAGAATAATTAATAGGAGGACCTGACAGCTTCTCCCATGAGGAAAATGCAGATTTTATTTTTTGCCCCATCTCCCTTTTGTATGGATTTGTATAATTCAAATTTTCCAAAGGCATTTTTTTCCATTTGCATCCTATACTTGAGTTGTTACGATTATCTGAGTTGATAATATCCAGGTAAATATTTTACTGTGACTTAAAAATATTACCTGCTGAGGAGAAATTGACAGAAATTGATTATTTCTGTCAGCTCTTCATTAGATGTCTTAAATCTTTAAGAGGCCACAGCAGTGGATTTCTTCAAGACTGGTCTCCAGGCAACAGGGTTTCCAGGCAGATACTCTGTGGACACAAAAGTGAACAGAAATGAGATGGTAAATTTGGAATAGGGAAGAATTTCACATATATACAAATATTACACTGTCTTGAAGAGAGTATTTAAAAGGAAAATTTTCAATCTATAATTTATTAAGTTAAATATGGGATTTTTAGTTATTCATTCAAGATTTGTTTAATAATATTTTAATTTTTACCAAGAAAATATAAAACTCAGTAATACACTCTTTAAATAGAGTTTTGATTTAATTTTGATTACATAACTCAAATTACTGTTTTCTTGTTTCAAAGAATGAAACACGTGACTAAGACGGCACGATTTAGATATTTGCAAGTATGTCCCCCACTCAAGAACAGGTTCCAAATTATCTCACTAATGTCCTAGATAAAGGAAGTCTCTCCAAGTGCTTTTAATGGTGTTAAAATTACTCTACCAAAATTAGAATTATTGTCATAGAGACTGATTGTTTTGTGAACTACAGCACAGCTCTAAAACTAAGCCTTGTGTAAAAAAGAAATGGTAACGTTAAGGCCACCGTGAGTTCCATCTGCTTTTAATTTCCTTGTTCTACCTAGCTCCAGAATCAAGTATAAAATAGATATTTTTGACTATAGCAAATACATTCAGACCACATCTATAGGGAAGAACACAAACACTTCGACAAAAATAAATTAGCTCATGTGAATAAAAAAGAAAAAGAAAAAATACATCACAGAAAGATTCATCTATGGGAGCAGACTACCACCTGTTTCATATATGATATAAAAGATAAGAGAACTTAAAAAAAAAGTCTCTTCTTCAACACTCACTATAGCTCACTGGCATATTACAACATAGAGACAAGCAATAGAAAGCAGAAAATATGTGGAACTAACCGTGTTATATAAGGAGACTTATGGACACTTGCTTATGTATCCAAAGAATTGGAGTCCTCTAGAAGAAATAGACACTGTCATATCTTGCCCTTGTGTGTGTCAAGACCAGGATAAATTGTAAGAGCCAAAATAATTTATTCTTTACTTTCTGGAGAGTTCATAGTCTGAAATAATTTGTGTACAGGACGAAAACAGTGACTTTAACTTTCTTTAAATTTATTTAACTTCATAAGTGACTTATTCTCTTACTGCTTTATAAATGTAACTAACTAAAGTAACTATAAGTTACTCTTCCTGTCAAATTTGCTATGCATTTTTGCCCACTCCTTGACTGTCCTCCTAAGCAAGCAGCATTCATATATCCACTTTACCTCCTTTGCAAGAGAAAAAAAAAAAAAGCTGTCCTCAAGTCTATACATAGCAAGTAAATTCTGCCCATGCTGCCTTTTGCATTGGGGAACAGAGTATCTTTGATCTATTTGGCTTGATTCAATTTCTGAACATCTTTGTCTTTAGTCCTTTCCCTTCCTATATAGGCTTTTCTAAATTTCCAAGACACATTGCTTGATTTCACTAGATTTTGGGTACAGAAATTAGTGCTTTATTTGTAAAATTAAGGATGAAATATTTTAGAATGCAAAAACTATTTCACTACTAATGTCCTGGAATGACAGATTTGTTTTACTGCTTTTATTTTTCTACTCAGATATTATACATATTTCTTTCTACCCTAAGGTATTGAGGCACTAGAGAAAGCAAGCCAAGATCCTTTGGTGTATGTTTCTATCCATATTCATTAAAATACACTTATCCTTTGACACTTTTAATAATACTCATTACCTCTCTTTCTCTCCTGGTGTGCTTTTCATCTGCAGTACACTTTGCAAACTGTCATTAATTCTTACAACACTTCAGAGAGGTAGATAAGTGGGTATTACTGGTCAGGTTTTCATTCAGTCTAACTGTAGGAATCCTTCCATCAAGATAAATAAAATGAAATTGGGACCCATTATCTCCACTGTACAGATGATGAAAATGAGACCAAAAGATTAAGTCGTGAACCAAGAGGAGAAAGAAAGTCCTTGTGAACAGAGTGGAAAAGTCTTTTCAATTCCTGTTCTCAGTTCTGAGTGATTTGTATTTACCATGTTACAGACCTCTCTTGGCTAGGGAAAACAAATGGAATGTGAATGTGATGCTTTAGAAATTTCTGTATAAAACTTTCTGTAAGAATTAGAAGTGACAAAATTAACCAAATACATTGCACAATGTGATTTGTGTGTCTTAAGCTTAGCACTAGAGAATTAGGGAAGCATCTATTCAGAATAGGCCTTCTCCATCTTACTGATTTTATTCTAAGGAAATAGGTCACTCGCTAGGATTTCTTTGAGGAAATGTCCATCCTTTTCTCTGAAAATCTAAATAGTACATGGTACAACTATGATGCTTAATAGATAAGCAAAACACAACTCTGTCCTACTATTGTTTTACAGGAAATTTTCTACCCTCATGAAAGTTTCACACATCTATGACTTTCCTGCTTACTCTTAGTCCTCAAGTCTTCTACATCTCAAAATACTGTAATTCAGAAATCTTAAATGTGTAATCTAAGATGTCAGCAAACATTTTCGACCCCATGCAAGGCTTATCCCCGTCTTCCAGCTGAGGCCAGCAGTCAATGGGTCACTTGCTTTTGGGGAGAAGGATGGTATCTCTCAATTACTCTCTCTTCTCACCCATTTCCCACCCAGAAGTCCTCCCCACCCTCAGTGCAGAGCCACTAGTGTGAGAGCTGGGGTTAGGGAAAGAGAGAAAGAGAGAAGAGGAAAGTTCTTGGTCAGCTCCCATTAAGTACTGTCCTAAATCCCTGGGCTTCTGTAATAGCAGCCTCCAGGACTTAGACACAGCCTCTCCCCTGCCGGCCTGGAAGCACTGCTGGCATCCACTACAAGCATCTGCTTTCCCTTCCTCCCTGCGCCACTTCCTGGCCTTCCATCATCCACTTCACAAAGACTCAGACTCTCCTGTTGCAGCCCATTGCCCTACCAGGTGGTACTCTCAGGACCTAAAAGAGTTACAGGCTGACTCTCCATCCTATGGGGCCCACATTTGATGCATGGATAGTCCAAATTCTTGCCTGTTAGACTGAATGTTTATGTCATCATAAAATTCATATATTGCAGTCCTAACCTCCAATGTGTTAGCATTGGGATGGTGGGGCCTTTAACAGAGAATTAGGTTTAGATGAGACATCAGGAGGGTGGACCTCCAACCATGATGGGATTAGGATACTTATAAAAAGAGGAAGAACCACCAAAACTTCTTCTCTATGCCATGTGAAGACACACAAGACAATGGCCAGAAAGTAGGTCCTCACCAGGAACCAAATTTACCTGCACCTTGATCTTGGACTTCCCAGCCTCCAGAACTATGAGAAATAAATGTCTGTTGTTTGAATCACCTGGCCTGTGGTATTTGTCATACAGGCCAAGGTAACTAAGACCTTGCACAATTTGGGTGGGGTATAAATTTCCCCACCCAAACCCTTTCCATTTCTCTCCCTGTACTACTATAGAGCCCTTCTCTGAAAAAAAAAAAAAAAAAAAAAAAAGGCGGGGTGGGGGGTTCTCATCATTGTTCCTCTTTTTCCCTTTCCAGTTTTCCTTTCCACTGCTCAAAAATGTAATCCTCCTCCATCCAGTCTGATCCACTCTGATCTGCTGGCATTCCGCGTTCATTCAGACCCAGCAGCCTTTCACAAACATAACCTCCTGCTTGTCTGTCCAACCTCATTTCCAGCTTCTCACTCACAAATATTGTTAGGTCCTGCACTACTGGACTTGTGCAGTGAACCAAATGCACCAGATTTCCCCCCTTTCCTTCTGCCTGTGTTTTGCTTTTGCCTTGCTGTATTAGTTACTTGTGGCTGCCATAACAAATTACCAAAAAAATCTAACATAAAACAACAGAAATCTGTTCTCTTGAAGCTCTGGGGACCAGAAGTCTGAAAACAATGTGTCAGCAGAGCCATACTCCTTCTGGAATCCCTAGAGGAAAAACCTTCCTTACCTCTTCCAGTTCCTTTGCTGTCAACATTCCTCAGCTCATGTTGAAATCTCTGCTTCTATAGTCACATGGCCTTCTCTTTTTCTGTCTGTCAGCTCTCCCCTGTGTGTCTCTTAAGAATACTCATCACCATATTTAGGGCCCACCCAGGTAATCCAGTATCAACCCTTCACCTCAGGATCCTCAATGTAATTATACCTGCAAAGACCCTTTCCAAATAAGGGTAACATTTACAGGTTCTGGAAATGAGGACATGCACATATCTTCTGGGGGACCATTCCTTTCCTTACATCAGTTACCATAGCAGCCTCCCAATTGGTGTTCCTGTCTCCATTCTTGGTTTTATTATCTATTTTTCATTCTATGAACATCATTTTGAAACACAGCTGATATGGTCTGACTGTGTCCCCACCCAAATCTCATCTTGAATTGTAGTTCCCATAATCATGCATTGTGGGAGGGACCCAGTGGGAGGTAATTAAATTATGGAGCAGTTACTCCCATGCTGTTCTCACAATAGTGAGTGAGTTCTCATGAGATCTGATGGTTTTATAAGGGGCTTTTCCCACTTTGCTCAGCATCTCTCTCTCCTTCTGCCATGTGAATAGGACATGTTTGCTTCCCCTTCCCCATGATTGTAAGTTTCCTGAGCCCCCTGCCCCTACCTCTCCAGTCATGCAGAACTGTGAGTCAAGTAAACCTCTTTGCTTTATCAATTACCCAGTCTTGGGTATGTCCATATAGCAATGTGAGAATAGACTAATACAACAGCTCTAGTCTTCCCACTGATATTCTTATATTCCAGTCTTCATGTTAGCCTGGCTTATAAGACCCTTCATAAGCTAGACTTAATTCTCCAGGCCCATCCACAACCATTTGTCAAACATGCTCCTACCATCAAAACTGAATACAGAACTTGTTGTATTGAACTTTTCTCTCTTAAAACAGGCTTATGCTCTTTTGCCTTCCTACTGGTTGTTTCCTGTCCTTGAATACTCTTTCTCTTCTTCCTTGACTAACTGATGTCTCAAATCTCATTTTAATTACTTCTTCCTTAACATCGT